AGCCCTATCTCTGCTCCGTCCTGAGCTCAGCCTAGGGAGGGGACAATGGAGCTGGCAGAGCCTGCTGCCTGCTGCCATGTGGGACCCCTGATTACAGTCGTCCCGTCCCTGCCCCCTCCCCGTCCCTAATCACCCACTCCGGGCCCACACCCAGTCTGTTTTAGGAACCCCGGCCAGGCTCAGTGTTTGCCCGTCATACGGGTGGTGAGTGAGTCTGTTCCCACACCTCCCAATGTCTGTTGTAGGTTGTCTGCTGAAGGTTAGGTCTCGTGTCAGAACTATAAAACCTCCTAAGAAGCAAGGTAACCCGGCTTGCATTCTCAGTTTCTTTTCATGCAGAACTCTTTCTGCTGGCTGTGAAGCATGGTGGTTAGCATGGGATGGGGGCTCTGGAGCAGCTCTTGGGGGTAACAGTCTACCACCCGTATCACAGGCCTGGGGGGTGGGAGGCAAGCTCTCCATCAAGGATAACTGCAGTCACTTAGCACTGTGATCTGGGCACTGTGGTTGATCACTTAGTACTGTAGACTGTGTCCCCACGACCCAGCTGTCCCTCGGCGGGAGCAGGACAGCTATGCGTTTGCCACAGTGTGTTACTTGATGCTTCATTGTCTTGTGAGCTCCCGAGGGAAAGGCGGAATTCCACCCCTCTGTGTCCTGTTTCCAGACTCAGGCTAGCCCGTGGTGGGATCTTGGCGAACTGCAGCGTCTCTAGATGGAAGTCACTTGGGTTCCCCTCAGTGGTCCTTGGGCCCTTGAGCCCTTTACCTCTGAGCCTTATACTGGGGTTCCAGCAAGTCCTGTCCATCAGTTCTGTCTAGCTGGCTGGGACAGGGCAGGCAGGAACTGTGAAGTGCCGTGCCATTGATCTTGAAGATGTTGGACATTACTCCCACCTGCTCAGAATCTAGGGTCTCACGGATCAGTTACCCTTGTCATCCTTGACTTCATGGACAGTGTCTTTCCATCATAAAATGTACAGGGCCTTGGGCTACAGAGTGGGAGGACTCACCTGAGCTAAGTCACTATCCCTGTGTGACCAGGGCAAGTGCTTCGTCCTCCTTCCTGAGTCCAGTGGTCCTGCTTAGGTTTGGGGGTTGGATATGATGGGTTGAGCAGTGAGCACATTCCCTTTGTCTCCCACTCTGTCTTCTGCCAGACTCCGTTCCAAGGGCTTAGTGACCATGGCCTTTTTGGGATAGTCCCATTTCTCAAGGGACATCTTCATGCAGATCCTCTTGCCATGTGAGGACACTTCACTACTTGGCCAGAGACCTCCTAGAGTTCACGAAGCCTCAGGTGTCAGCAAGTCAGGCCTGGCTTCTTCTGTGGACATCTGTTATAGTCCACTTTACAGACAGCGCTAAGTCCAGAGTGGGCAAGCTCCTTATCAAAGGTCATACAGCTCTGAGTAATAAGATTATAGTTAAAGTCTCTCTCAATTCAGAATCCACACAATGACCTGGTTACTGGGCAGAGGAGAGGGGCTTCCAAGGTAGCTGCTTCCTGGGGGCGGTGGTGGCACATGCCTTTAATCCTAGCACTTGGGAGGCAGAGGCAGGTGCATCTCTGTGAGTTCAAGGCCAGCCTGGTCTACAGAGTGAGTTCCAAGACAGGCTCCAAAAGCTACAGAGAAACCCTAACTTGAAAACAAAACAAAAGAACAAAAGTAAAAGGTAGCTGCTTCTTCAGAAGTCTCCTAGAACCTAGGTCCTGACATGAGGCCCTAGAATCTGCAATCTGAGACTTCTGAATAGCCTGTCCTGGAGTCTATAAGTGTTCATCAACCGTAAACTTCCTCTCTGATCTTCAATGAGAAACTGTGGGTGATGGCAGACAGGCTAAAGCTTGTCTTCTCCTAGCCACAGTGTTTAGGTGGCAGAGAGTGGCATCCTGTCGATCTGGATCATGGGGTCATGTGACTGGACCTTGGAATCCTGTGAGTGAACATGTGGGATGTTAGGGGGAGACAGTCACTTGTGTTTAGGCTCCTACAGCTTTATCTTAGTCCCCAGCAATTCCATGGGACAGGGTCCCACAAGCACCACTCTGCTGGAGGTGAGGCCATTAGGGCTCAGAGAGGTTTGGTAACTCTCCTGCTAGAGGTCGCACGGCAGCTAGGAAGCAGAGCAGGATTCCCATGAGGTCTTCCAGGGAACCTAAACTCCCAAGCTGCTTCATGCCCCAGGCTTCTCCTGTTGCCAGAGCAGCAGGTGTTTGTTTGTTTTTTCCCCTTTCTTATTTTAGCAACAGCAACAATAACTGAAAGTACAGAGATTGGAAAATAAGATAATGCAAGGTCGAAAAGCCAATAATCTCAAAGTCAGCTGTCACAGATGACTACAACACACAGGTAGCTCAAACACAACCACTATGACCCGCCTCCTCCCGTAAATGATCAGGACAGAGTCCAGAGGCTGGGGACCTGTGCCAGACACCAGCCTGCGGGACCAGACTAGATCAGGTGGTCTTCATAGCCCTGAAGGCAGGCAGATTTTCTCCCTCCGTGTTCTACCATGTGTGAGCAGACCACTCTCACTGGGCATAGCTGCCAGACTTCCCAGTCTGCAGGTGCCTCAGCCAGACCATTATGGCCTGGCTCCAGCCGGGAGCAGGCACTCTGCCATGGGATTGACAGAGGCTCCCTCCTCGGGGAATCCAGCCCCGCCCCCCCACACACCTTGCTTGAGAGCAGGCCGGGGACACTGGGAATCTTCCAGAGTGGTGCTCATCAGAGGCTTCTGATGGCTTCTGACTGTTTTCCAACTTCAGTTGTCATTGCCATTGAATTTGACACTGAATGACAGTCGTCACCTAGCTCCTTGAGGCTTCACGGGGACCCAGTAGTCAGCTCATTTCACTGGTGGCAAAGTACAGCAAACGCAAGGCGGCCGTTCCAGGTTGCATAGCTGATAGGAGGTGGCCCGTGTGGCCTCTTCAGGCCCAGCCTTGTGCACCGATGAAGCTCTGTTGTGTGCTGGCCTGAGTGATTTCAGGCATTCTGCTTCTTGCCCAGCCCAGCTGGCTGTGTGACTTGTGCCCTCTTGCTCTGTCTGGCCTCTCTGGAGAAAGTCCTCTCTGAGATGGTCCTCATGACATTGCTCTGGGGTCAGTGACTGGAGGGAAAAGAACGTCTAGAAGGGTGAGGAAAAAGCAGAAGGCTGGGAGAATCACAGGATGCTGGTTTCCAGCCACCTGCTCCTGCCCAGACACCATGGCATCAGGACACCCAGGCCTGAACCACACTGGGCCGGATCTTTGAGCATAACTCAACACAGTTCCATCCTTCGACCTTAAAATTAACCTGGGGTCTGGCTGTCTGGCTGCGCACTGAGTAGCTCATCAGGATCTCTAGCCATGGGGATCAAGTGCACACAAGGTGTAACACTCCAGGACAGTTCCAGTGTGCAGCCAAGATGCGGCCACACAGCTCCAGGGGATTTGGGTGAGGGGAAAGACAGACATTCAGGTCCCATGTGGGCTTTCCAGATCTGGCAACCCTTGGAAAGTGGGTGGAAGCATGCCTTCGAGCTTTTTAGAAATTTACTGTTAATTAATTCATCTTAAAGTTTGTTTATAGTGTGTGTGTGTGTGTGTGTGTGTGTGTGTGTGTGTGTGTGTGTACCACTGCAGGTATGTGACGGTCAGAGGACAGCTTCCAGGAGTCTGTTCTCTCCTTCTAGCATGTGGATCCTGGTGTTGAACTCGGGCTGTCATACTGCAGTGTCTGCACCCTACTCAGTTGTCTCATCAACATTTTTACTTACTTCCTTGTGAAGATTTCCATTTCATTATATGTTTCCGTGTGGATTTGTACATGTGAGTGCCAGGGTCCAAAGAGAACAGAGAAGGTGGCAGGTCCCCTGGAGCTGGAGTTAGGGACTGGGCCATTTGTGAGCCACTACACAAGTGCTGGGGACCACACTGGCCCCGTGCAACAGCAGTGCACACTCTTAACTACTAAGTGTAGATCCTGTGTTTCTTTCTGAGATGGAACCTTACTGTGTATTCCTGACTGGCCTAGAATTTACTGTGTAGCAGGCTTACCTCAGTCTTGTAGATCTTGCCTCTGCTTCCAAGTGTTGGGATAACAGGAGTAAGCTATCTTCATGCATCTTCCTAGGAAGAGACTCTCTGCTTTCTCAGGTTTTCCAGACTCAAAGAAAATTCAGAACCAATGCTGGTAGGAGTCAACTAACTCCCATTACAATAACCCTGCATTTCCCCTCCTCCTCCTCCCCCCACCTCTTCTTTTTAGATAGGGTTTCATTTAGCTCACGCTGACCTCAAATTGCTATGTTGGGGTAACAAGTTTGTTCCCCATGCTGGAATGATGTCATTTTTGGTGTTCAGTGGCTTCCTCTGCAGGATCAAAGTTGGTCTGTGTCTCTAAGGGACCTGCTGGAACTCTCCAGATCCCTACCTTTTGCCTTGTTCTCATGCTCATGTACCGGGAGCTCACTGCATTGGGCACTGTAGAGTCCTGGACACAGAATCTGGCTTCTATAGCCAGTATGTCAGCAGGAAAGTTTCTGGCAGCGGACAGACAGGACACTTGCTGTGTTTCTCAGCGGTATCCCTGCAGTGTGGATGGGCAGTGGCTGAACAGAGGTGGAAGCGATCCCCTGCTCAGGTCTAGGCAGGGGGCTAGGGGAAGTGATGAATGCAGGATGGATGGAAGGAGACCTGTATAGCTCTCAGGTGTTCTGATGAAGGACCATTTCCTCTTCTCTCAATCCCACAGCACTTAGAGCCGGGAGTGGGAGCTCCAAAGGGACCTTGGAAAGCTGGGATTTCAATTGGGTGTATCCTGAGAGGCGGCACTTTAGTGTTCAGAGCTATTAAGTGAAAGGGTTTCACTGAAGTTGGGAGAGCATCAGCTGGAGGTGTTAGCCGCTGGGCATACTGGGAATTGGAATGGGTCACATACACGGGTGACTCCTGGGAAGACACCCCATGATCTCCTGTCTGGTCACAGCAGAGATGTTTGTTCTTCACAGTGTGTCCTTTGTCCAGAACTCATCTGAGAAGCTGCCACAGAAATTGCTGCTCCAAGTTGATCACTGAACAGGTGAGGAGGAAGTGGGGGTGGGCAGCCACACACACAGGTCATGCATGGCCTCTCCTGTGGAAGCCTGGAACACGCATCTCCCAACACTGGACCAGAAAACATTGTGGGCCCTACATCTTGGAACTACTTAGGAACACAGGGGTGAACCCTCAGGTCAGGCTGGAGGGCAGCATTCCTGTGCCTCAGTGTGTGACAACCGCCCCCCATACATAGCGCAAACTCACAGAAGGGGTGTCTCCCTGGGCCCCACTAGTACACCAGGGGCTCCTGGGGAGGTGGGAAGGCCTGACAGCATGGCCTATACTCCAGCTAGCCCAGATTGCCCACCATCCCTCATGGGTCAAGACACAGGTGTGTATGGTAACAGTCCCAGATGACTGACACAATGGGTCTCAGACACTTTTCAGGTGCCCGAGCCCTTGAAGTCATGTGCTCTTTGTGGCAGTCCCTTCTCCTCCACAGCTCATCCAACCCACGCCTTCATCCACCCGCCCATCAAGCCCATCACCCATCTACACATCCAGCCTCACCTCACCTCCAGTTATATCTATGGGGTACCTACTTACAAAGAACACTGGGTCTTCCCCTCAAAGTATCACAGTTCACAGACAGACCGGTAAATTACAGCAGCTGCCGTTCATTTGGAACCCTCACATGCCCAACGCTTTACCTACACTAACAACACCTCATTAGCTTCCTCATTTCACACGACTACTATGAAGTTCAGAGAGGGTAAGTCATTTATCCAGGGCCACACAGCTAGGAAGTCTTACCACAGAATTCAAACCTGTATGATCTGATGCTGCACCTACCTTCTGGGAGCTCCTCTAGTAACCAGTGCTGCAGGAATGAAGCTCCCAGATAACATGTGTCTCAGGGCCAAGGAGTGACGGTAGGATAAGGGAGATGTTTACGGGAGTCTCGAAGGAGGTCAGGCCTGAGAGGACTATCACAGACAGCAGGAGGGAAATACTGTGTGTTCATTTTGTTGCATAAACTGACTTGGCACACAACTGTGCATTCCATCAGTTTAAATTATTGTTGCTTAGAAACGGCTAACTTGCCTGCCACAGGGTCGCTAGCGTGACTGCCCATGACCACGCCAGAACTTTCCCGTAAGATGTGCTTGCAGCTCAGTCCCCTGTGTTGCCAGTTGTGTTTCACACACCCTGACAGGAAGGCATCTATAAAAAGTACTCAGAAGAGCCCCAACCCAGCACTGACTGTTCTATTAGCTCAGCTCCATTTGGGAAGCAGCATTCACCCCTGACTTGTCCAACTGTTGTATCACTTGGTGCCACAAGGTGCATCCCGGTATCCTGAGCATCAACCCAGGGCTGCCAGGCCCCAGCTTCCTCTTTTTCTGATAGTCATGAGGAGCCCACTGCAGAGAGGGGAGTCCACTGCACAGAGGGGAGCCCACTGCACAGAGGGGAGCCCACTGCACAGAGGGAAGTCCACTGCAGAGAGGGGAGTCCACTGCACAGAGGGGAGCCCACTGCACAGAGGGGAGCCCAGTGCACAGAGGGGAGCCCACTGCAGAGAGGGGAGCCCACTGCACAGAGGGGAGCCCACTGCAGAGAGGGGAGCCCACTGCACAGAGGGGAGCCCACTGCAGAGAGGGGAGCCCACTGCACAGAGGGGAGCCCACTGCACAGAGGGGAGCCCACTGCACAGAGGGGAGCCCACTGCACAGAGGGGAGCCCACTGCACAGAGGGGAGCCCACTGCACAGAGGGAAGTCCACTGCACAGAGGGAAGTCCACTGCACAGAGGGGAGCCCACTGCAGTTAGGGAAGTCCACTGCAGAGAGGGAAGTCCACTGAACAGAGGGAGTCCACTGCACAGAGGGAAGTCCACTGCACAGAGGGAGCCCACCATAGAGAGGGAGCCCACTGCACAGAGGGGAGCCCACTGCACAGAGGGGAGCCCACTGCACAGAGGGGAGCCCACTGCAGAGAGGGAAGTCCACTGCAGAGAGGAAGTCCACTGCAGAGAGGGAGCCCACTGCACAGAGGGAAGTCCACTGCACAGAGGGAGCCCACTGCAGAGAGGAGCCCACTGCAGAGAGGAGCCCACTGCAGAGAGGGAGCCCACTGCACAGAGGGGAGCCCACTGCACAGAGGGGAGTCCACTGCACAGAGGGAAGTCCACTGAACAGAGGGAAGTCCACTGAACAGAGGGAAGTCCACTGCACAGAGGGGAGCCCACTGCACAGAGGGGAGCCCACTGCAGAGAGGGAAGTCCACTGCAGAGAGGGAAGTCCACTGCAGAGAGGGGAGCCCACTGCACAGAGGGGAGCCCACTGCAGAGAGGGAAGTGCACTGCAGAGAGGGAAGTCCACTGCAGAGAGGGGAGCCCACTGCACAGAGGGAAGTCCACTGCACAGAGGGGAGCCCACTGCAGAGAGGGAGCCCACTGCAGAGAGGGAGCCCACTGCAGAGAGGGGAGCCCACTGCACAGAGGGGAGCCCACTGCACAGAGGGGAGTCCACTGCACAGAGGGAAGTCCACTGAACAGAGGGAAGTCCACTGAACAGAGGGAAGTCCACTGAACAGAGGGAAGTCCACTGCACAGAGGGAAGCCCACTGCAGAGAGGGAGCCCACTGCAGAGAGGGGAGCCCACCGCACAGAGGGAAGTCCACTGAACAGAGGGGAGCCCACTGCACAGAGGGAAGTCCACTGCACAGAGGGGAGCCCACTGCACAGAGGGGAGCCCACTGCAGAGAGGGAGCCCACTGCAGAGAGGGGAGCCCACTGCACAGAGGGGAGCCCACTGCAGAGAGGGGAGCCCACTGCACAGAGGGGAGCCCACTGCAGAGAGGGAGCCCACTGCAGAGAGGGAGCCCACTGCAGAGAGGGAGCCCACTGCAGAGAGGAGCCCACTGCAGAGAGGGAGCCCACTGCACAGAGGGAAGTCCACTGCAGAGAGGGAGCCCACTGCACAGAGGGGAGCCCACTGCAGAGAGGGAGCCCACTGCACAGAGGGGAGCCCACTGCACAGAGGGGAGCCCACTGCAGAGAGGGAGCCCACTGCAGAGAGGGGAGCCCACTGCAGAGAGGGGAGTCCACTGCACAGAGGGGAGCCCACTGCACAGAGGGGAGCCCACCGCACAGAGGGGAGCCCACTGCAGAGAGGGAAGTCCACTGAACAGAGGGGAGTCCACTGCAGAGAGGGGAGCCCACTGCACAGAGGGGAGCCCACTGCACAGAGGGGAGTCCACTGCACAGAGGGGAGCCCACTGCACAGAGGGGAGCCCACTGCAGAGAGGGGAGCCCATTGCAGAGAGGGGAGCCCACTGCACAGAGGGGAGCCCACTGCAGAGAGGGGAGCCCACTGCAGAGAGGGGAGCCCACTGCAGAGAGGGGAGTCCACTGCAGAGAGGGGAGCCCACTGCAGAGAGGGGAGCCCACTGCAGAGAGGGGAGCCCACTGCAGAGAGGGAAGTCCACTGCACAGAGGGGAGCCCACTGCAGAGAGGGAAGTCCACTGCAGAGAGGGGAGCCCACTGCAGAGAGGAAGTCCACTGCACAGAGGGAGTCCACTGCACAGAGGGAGCCCACTGCAGAGAGGGAAGTCCACTGCAGAGAGGGAAGTCCACTGAACAGAGGGGAGTCCACTGCACAGAGGGAGTCCACTGCACAGAGGGAGCCCACTGCAGAGAGGAAGTCCACTGCAGAGAGGGAGCCCACTGCACAGAGGGAGCCCACTGCAGAGAGGAAGTCCACTGCAGAGAGGGAAGTCCACCGCACAGAGGGGAGCCCACTGCACAGAGGGGAGCCCACCGCACAGAGGGGAGCCCACTGCAGAGAGGGAAGTCCACTGAACAGAGGGGAGCCCACTGCAGTTAGGGAAGTCCACTGCACAGAGGGGAGCCCACTGCACAGAGGGGAGCCCACTGCAGAGAGGGAAGTCCACTGCAGAGAGGGAAGTCCACTGAACAGAGGGGAGCCCACTGCACAGAGGGGAGCCCACTGCAGAGAGGGGAGCCCACTGCAGAGAGGGGAGCCCACCATAGAGAGGGAGCCCACTGCAGAGAGGGAGCCCACTGCAGAGAGGGGAGCCCACTGCAGAGAGGGGAGCCCACTGCAGAGAGGGGAGTCCACTGCAGAGAGGGGAGTCCACTGCAGAGAGGGGAGCCCACTGCAGAGAGGGGAGCCCGCTGCAGAGAGGCGAGTCCGCTGCAGAGAGGGAAGTCCGCTGCAGAGAGGGGAGCCCACTGCAGAGAGGGGAGCCCACTGCATAGAGGGGAGTCCGCTGCAGAGAGGGGAGTCCGCTGCAGAGAGGGGAGTCCGCTGCAGAGAGGGAGTCCGCGGAGCCCACTGCACAGAGGGAAGTCCACTGCAGAGAGGGAAGTCCACTGCAGAGAGGGAGCCCACTGCAGAGTGGGAGCCCACTGCAGAGAGGGAGCCCACTGCAGAGAGGGAGCCCACTGCAGAGAGGGAAGTCCACTGCAGAGAGGGAAGTCCACTGCAGAGAGGGGAGCCCACTGCAGAGTGGGGAGCCCACTGCACAGAGGGGAGCCCACTGCAGTTAGGGAAGTCCACTGCAGAGAGGGGAGCCCACTGCAGAGAGGGGAGCCCACTGCAGAGAGGGAGCCCACTGCAGAGAGGGAGCCCACTGCAGAGAGGGAAGTCCACTGCAGAGAGGGAAGTCCACTGCAGAGAGGGGAGCCCACTGCAGAGTGGGGAGCCCACTGCACAGAGGGGAGCCCACTGCAGTTAGGGAAGTCCACTGCAGAGAGGGGAGCCCACTGCACAGAGGGGAGCCCACTGCACAGAGGGAAGTCCACTGCAGAGAGGGGAGCCCACTGCACAGAGGGGAGCCCACTGCAGTTAGGGAAGTCCACTGCAGAGAGGGAAGTCCACTGCAGAGAGGGGAGCCCACTGCAGAGAGGGGAGCCCACTGCAGAGAGGGGAGCCCACTGCAGAGAGGGAAGTCCACTGCAGAGAGGGAAGTCCATTGCAGAGAGGGGAGCCCACCATAGAGAGGGGAGCCCAC